ACTACTCTGGACTCCTGTTACTGTTGATATTTTACTCTTTGTATGAATCTTGAATGTTCTCAATGGCATCTAGAGTGGCAAATCCTTTGCAGGAAGTTTTCAGTTTACTTTTCCCAGATTCATCAGAGGAATCACTATCTATGACCGCAATGGTCTCATGAAGTATACTTCTAAATGTCAGATTTTGAAAGTTGAAATTACTACTTGATCTATGGGCTACAAAATGGGTGCTGTGTTAGCAGGCATAAAAACAACATTAATCCCCTTGTATACCTCCATCAGAGCGCATAGGTGACCAGGTGTATTGCCAATGAGCAGTAATGTTTCAAATCTTTTTTTCTGAGCAGTAGGTCTCAACACTGGGATTAAAATATTCAGTAAACCAGGCTTTTTTGTTCCGTTTATGCAGCACAGACCGAGTAGATTTCACATAATGGCTTTTCAACTTAAAGTCATCAGCTGCATTAGCCTCAAACGAGAGAGTCAGCCTCTCCTTTGAAGCCAGGCATTGACTTTTTCTCTCTGACTATGGAAGTCCTAGATGGCGTCTTAGTCCAACAGAAGGCCATTTTGTCTACAGATTAAAAATCTGAGCCGGGCTCGGTGGCTCAGCCTGTAATCCCACGCCTTTGGGAGGCTGAGGTGAGTGGATTGCCCGAGCCCGTGGGTTTGAGACCCGCCTGGGCAGCGAGACCTCATCTCTACAATAAATCAAAAAATCAGCCGGGCGTGGTAGCACATGCCTGTAATTCCGGCTACTCGGAAGACTGAGGCGGAAGGATCGCCGGAGCCCAGCAGGTCGAGGCTGCGGTGGCCGGGAACAGCCACTGCACTCCAGTCTGGGTGACAGAGTGAGACTCCAACTCAAAAAAAAAATAAAAAATCTGCTTAGTGTAGCCACCTTCATCAATGACCTCAGCTAGTTCAGGGTAACTTGCTGCAGCTTCTCCGTCAGCACTTACAGCTTCACCTTGCACTTTATGTTCTGGAGAAGGCTTCTTTCCTTCAGCCTCATGAACCAAGCTCTGCTAACTTTAAACTTTTCTTTTTAGCATCCTTACCTCTCTAGGACTTCCTGGAATTAAAGAAAGTTAGAGCCTTGCTCTGGATTAGACTTTGGCTTCATGACTGGTTTGATCTATCCAGACCACTCAAATTAGCAATATTCTCTAGATCAGCAATGCATCTATTTCATTTTCTGATCATTCACTGAGTAGCACTTTTAACTTCCTTCAAGAACTCTTCATTTGCATTCACAACTTGGCTGTTAAGTGCAAGAGGCCTGGCTTTCTGCTATCTGGCCTTCCTCACTAAGCTTCATCATTTCTGGCTTTTGATGTCAAGTGACAGGCTTGTGACTCTTCCTCTCACTTGAGTACTTAGAGGCCACTGAAGGGTCATTAATTGGCCTGAACTCAACATTGTGGTGTCAGGGAATAAGGAGGCCTGAGGAGAGGGAGAGAGATGGGGGCGCAGCCAGCTGGTGGGGCCGTCAGAGAACACACACAACATTTATTAATCAAGTTCACTGACTTATATGAACACAACTAGTTGTACCCCAAAACAATTAACAGTAGTAAACATCAAAAATCATGGATCACAGATCACTGTGACAGATATAATAATAACAAAGACATTCGAAATATAGTGAGGATCTCCAAAATTGTGACACAGAAGCTTGCGGTGAGCACACACACTATCAGGAAAATGGTGCCAGTGGACTTAACCGATGCCGGTTGCCACAAACCTTCAATTTGTAAAAAGCGCAACAAAACAAAGTGCAGTAAAACACAATGGTGTATTGTGGGTGTGGGTGTGTGTGTGTGTGTGTGTGTGTGTGTGTGTGTGTGTGTGTGTGTGTGTGTGTGTGTGTGTAGAGGTACAGAGAGGATATTTACATATATATCTCGATAATTACCCAAGCTTCCTTGGTCACCTTATAGGGCTCACTTTGGTGGGGGTAGTTAATCTGTGGATGGCATTCTTACCAAGTCCTTGAGGTAGGGGCGTCTCCCATATTTCTGTCTTTCAGCACCTTGACTTAGGTTTAAAAAATCAACTTAAAAAATGGAGGTGACTGAAAATGTCATGCACCTTGGTACAGAAAGGTGACTGTGCCATGTTGGAAGATGGTGCTGTATGAGTCATTATCAGAGAGGGACCATCCCTACTTCAAGCTATTTCTAGATGTTTAAAATAACATTCAGAATTACTTTAAGGGTCGGGCATGGGGCTAACGCCTGTAATCCCAGCACTTTGGGAGGTCGAGGCAGAAGGATCACTGGAGACAAGAGTTTGGGACTGTCTGAGACACATAATGAGAACCCCATCTCTACAAAAATAATAATAACAACTTTAAGAAACATCTGAGCCACTGTACCTCTATTCCTTTCCAAAGCATTTATAGCATGTTAGAATCCAAACCACAGTTTCCAAGTTTGGTATGCAAAGTCCTTAGCCCTGAATATCCTGGAGGCAAACCTGGAAGACCTCACCTCTGAGTGGTATCAAGCAGTCACAGCAGGATGTGCTCTAAGAATCCAAATGAATTCAATTGCACTACATGGGGGGCTTAAACTTGAGCTGAACTTACTCATTGCCAGCTGGCTGTGAATCCTATAGTTAAATCATATGGGGGGGGGACCTGAGTCAACCACACAACAAACACAAATAAAGCCAAGGTAAGGTCTGGGGCATTTCTGTGCTCCTTTGTAAAACTTGAAGTTTCTTGGTCTTGTGAAATAACAATGTGTTTTGGTAAACTGGGAAGTAAACAGCCAGTGAACTTTCTGAATTCTGTGACTTTTGCCTGAGGCAAAACAAAGCTAAGACAAATGGATTCTTTAAAAGGCCCACGGGCAGCTGCAGGGCAGAGAATTAGAGCCTGGAAGAGGTAGGTTGGGGTATTCCGCGGTGAATTCTGCCCAACAGAGCTGGTCTTCAGCAACAGAGCACCTTCTCTCCACCTGCATCCAAAAGCTCACCTGATGCACTGTCCTGGGTGGGGTGACCTTGCATTCACCTCCTGCTCTTGGGTCTCCTCACTTCTTGGTGGAGGCCTTCTGAAGGGGCATGCACCTCGCGCACTGCTTCAAACTGTGTCCTGACGTTTTTTAAACGATGGCACATGCAGCCATCAAAAGGAAGTGCACAGAAGAGTAAATAATGACTTGGAAGTAGTCGGGCGCAGTGACTTGTGCCTGCAATCCCAGCACTTTGAGAGACTGAGGCAGACAGATTGCTTGAGCCCAGGAGTTTGAGACCAACCTGGACGACAAAGCAAGACCTTGTCTCTATAAAAGAATCAAAAAATGGCCGGGCTCGGTGGCTCAGCCTGTAATCCCGCACTTTGGGAGGCTCAGGTGAGTGGATTGCCTGAGCCCGCGAGTTCGAAACCCACCTGGGCAACTTGGTGAGACCTCATCTCTACAATAAATTTTTTTAAAAAATTAGCTGGGCGTGGTAGTGCATGCCTCTGTAGTTCTGGTTACTTGGAAGGCTGAGGTGGAAGGATTGCCGGAGCCCAGCAGGTCAAGGCTGTCCGGCCACTGCTGTCCAGTCTGGGTGACAGAGTGAGACTCCAACTCAAAAAAAAAAAAAATCAAAAAAATGAACCAGGCATGGGGGTGTATTCCTGCAGTTCCAACTACTTGAGATGCTGAGTTGGAAGAATCACTGAGCCCAGGAGGTCAAGGCTGCCGTGAGCCGTGATCATTGTAATCATGCCACTGCACTCCAGCCTGGGCAACAGAGTGAGACCCTAACTCAAAAAAAAAAATTTACATGGAAAGATGCTTACTCTGTTCTCAGATTGAAAAACAGATTACAAGACAATGAGACTATTTTGTAAGAAAAAGAGTAATAAAACAAGATGTACATGTTTCTATAGAAAGACTGAAGCTGGGTGCTGTGGCTTATGTCTGTAATCCCAGCACTTTGGGAGGCCGAGGCGAGAGGATTGCCTAAGCCCATTGGTCTGAGACCAGCCTGGGCAACTTGGCGAGACCCTGTCTCTTCAATAAATCAAGAAAAATTAGCCGGGCACGGTGACACACACCTGTAGTTCCAGCTACTTGGAAGACTGAGGTGGAAGGATCACCTGAGCTCAGCAGGTCAAGGCTGCAGTGGCCACGGGCATGCCTCTGCACTCCGGCCTGGGCAACAGTGAGACTCCAACTCAAAAAAAAAAAAAAAAAGAAAGAAAGAAAGACTGGAATAATATCCAGTGTCTCCAAGGGGTAGGGTTGCAAGTGATTTGAACCTGTTTGCTCATCTGCTTTTTAGCACTGAATTTGTATTACTTTGGTACTGCATTCCACCCCAATACATGGCAGTTTTGGTGAGTTAATATGTTAAGGGATGTCAGTAGCTTCCCAAGGACCTTTCATTTGTAATACTTGGGGATCTACAGGGGCCAGGAAGTTTGCTTTGGCTCTGGGATCTACCTTTGAGGATGCTGGAAGGGGAGAGCCTTGGTTGATAAGGCAGGAAGTCTCCACGTTCATCCAGTGTGAGGCTATTTTTGCTCTGCTTCGGGGGAGTGCTTGTTTCCATAATCTTATTAAATCAAAACTACTGGATTTGCCCATGGTTAAAAATGTGAAGTTAAACAGAAAAACAAAAGCAAAAAGAAAGTACTTTTAGGCAGTTCACCAGCTGTTTGCTGCAGTGTGTTTCCCTCTCTTACTGCTTGAATTAACCTCAGTAGAAGGTTCTAGTGCAGTCATTGTGACAAAATAACAGAGGAAGAGGTGTGCTTCCAGATTACTCCTCCTCCTCCTCCCCATCCCCCTCTCTCCTCCCCATCCTCTTCCTCCCCCTCACTCCTCCCCCTCTCCTTCCTCTTCCTCCTTCCCCTCTTCCTCTTCCTCAGAGTTGTTGAAATGGCCATTATTTGTTCCACTCCCTAGAACCAGTTTCATCCCATTCATGTTGCCTGCCATGGCATCCTCTTTGTGAACTGTTCTATTAAATTTGCCTTTTACCATTTTGTTTCCCAGTCCACCTAAGCCGACTGTGTTCATCTCTGGAGTTATTGCCCGGGTAAGTCTAAGAGCCCCTGTGGTGGGGGCAAGGACTTTGCACATCAGCATGTGATCTCCCTCTGGCTTTGTTAAACTGTAGAACAACCAAACAACACTATGCATCAAATTGGGCCAGTGGCTTTCTTTATTGTCACATTTCCGCAGAGCATGCATTTGCAGACCCCAGACTAGACTCAGGGCTTTGGTCACACCCTTCACCTTTCAGGAGCCCCCTTCTAGCGGGACCCAACGTTTTGTCTTAACAGCAGACGTTCCACCAGCAAACTCCCACAGTCATGCCATCTACAGGTCTGTTGCTCTCAGGACATTCAAGCCCTTCTCATAGGATGCATGAAGAAAGTGCCACTGTTGAGGACAGCTCACTGTTGGGGATGCTGTGACCACAGTCATCCAGAGACCCTGGGACAGAGGCGTGACATGTGTGCTGCATGTGAGAAAATTAAATACCAATGCCTTGGCTGGCTGTCTCCCACCTGCCCCTGGTGGACCAGGCCCAGCCCTGGCACAAGCCTATGTTGGCACAGAAGCCTGCTGGTCCCTGTGGGAAACAGTGAGTCCTCCTCCTCCTCCGAGGCTCGGTTATATCTTGCTCTACCTCCCGGCCTCCCTGTGTGTTTCCTTCCCAACCTGCACCCAGGCCTGGCTCACAGCTGTGGTGGCAAGTCTGAATTTGAAACTCTGGATTTGGTCCCGTTTCCCCCCAGTTTAAATGATCACAAAAACAGATTTAGACAAGAAAGCTGCCAATACCCAAGTCAATTTTGAGCAAGTTGTTATGTTCCTGTATTTCATGGCATGGGGCAGAGCCAGCGAACCTCCTTGACATCCTGGTGCTGGGCGGGCCTCAGTGCCACCTGCCACTCACTGCTTCTGATGGCCCAGGCTCCCTGAGAGCTCAGGACCCCCACCAGCCACAGGAGACAGGCTTCCACCTGCCGACAAACTCACCATTCCTTTGCCCACTCACAGCCCCGCCCACCCTGCAGGGACACTGGGTGGATGCTGGGCCGGGGGGCTTCCTCATGCTTACTGCTGATCAGCCTGTGTGTTCTGTGTCTCCTGACAGGGTGACAAAGACTTCCCCCCGGCGGCGGCGCAGGTGGCTCACCAAAAGCCCCACGCCTCCATGGACAAGCATCCTTCCCCGCGTACCCAGCACATCCAGCAACCACGCAAGTGAGCCGGGCTGGACCCGCCTGCCACAGCAGGGCCCAGCAGCTGCATCAAATTTGTCCCCGACAAAGAGACCTGACACTTTCCTCAAATACAGCTCGGCAGGAAATCTAAGGCAAAGCAAAGCGCCCTTCCTTTGCCTTAAATTTCCATATTTAAAACTAGCAACAACTCAAACCCCAAACCTTGTCTACAGGGAACCTTGGCCAAGTGTCTGTGAGGATCCTTGGGCCCCCAGACTTGCCACTAGCAGAATCTGCCAAAGATCTAAGGAAAACGACATCATTCAGACTTCACTTGTAATTCTGTTTCAGCTGTCACCTGAAGTCCCCACCTGTGGTCTTAAAAACAGGAAGGCCCAAATTTGGGAGGATTTAGATTAAGGTTAGGAAAAAAGGTCAATCATTTTATGCTTTTTTAGTAATAGGACAATAAAGTCTTAATGCCTACAAGATAGTAAGAAATAGGGGATTTAATTAAGAGGGTGGTATTCAGGAAGCACGGGAAGGACCTTAGAAACAGGCAGCAGCCACGTCGATTTTCCCTCACATGATGAAGGATTGTGGCACAGGTGAGGAAGCCCTCAGAGGAGAAGCGAAAGACAGACACACGGCTTGGAAGTGGCTCTTGTTTGCCAGGAGTCGATGTGCCGAACACTGAGGGTGCAGGCATGTGGCTCACTGTAGATTATTTCTGGACGGAGACCTCGGCAGGGCAGGGCATTTCTGAAATGAGACCCAGCAGTGCCTCCGTCAAGACAGGCTCCGCCGGGGCAATCAAGGCAAACTTGTGTTTGTTTCAGTAATCCCTTCTAGAGCCGCCTTTGAGTTCCAGAAGTGACCGCTGATCCGGGTGGAGGAGTGGACTTCTAGCTAGCAGTGACCAGATGAAAACCTACCCCGTGACCCCCTGGGGACATGAAGCGCCACATCCCGTTTGAGCAAGGAAAACCCACGGACTGATCAGCTCACTGTCCAGGGTCCCTCCTGCCCTGAGTGCACCTCTGCCTGGGCCCATTATTACTCGGGTGTGTCCAGTTGTCCTCCTGTTTCTGTACACGTCTCCTGCCTGCAGATGCCCTAGGCTGCTCCCTGGCTCACAGCTGTGGGGTGCTTTGCTTTTCGAAAAGCCAAAGGGCTTTCTGAGTCCACCGTGAAAATCTTCTGAGCTCTTGCTCCCAGCCGTGGATTTGCTGCCGGCCAGCAGCATCCACACCACCAGCCTTTCTGGCACCTTCTCCAGGCCACATCTCTGCTAGCTGGACAGGGTAGAGTCAGACCTGGTTAGGACCAGCACTGCCTCTTCCCTGATGGAGTACACAGCACAGCGTCACATCTTAGAGACAGCGTTTGGCTTCCTGTCTGTTGACTCCAGATAGCTGAGGCATAACCCTCAAGGCTGTGTGTCATCACATCTCGTATTTCCTAATTGCTGAAATGAGGGTGGCTTTCGGAGACCCCGACACTGCCAGGGAGTTCGCCTAGTGAGTGCCCTCCTCCCGGCCTGTCTTCTGAAGCCAGGTCTGACCCTACCCTGTCCAGCTAGCAGCACCACCAACTCAAGTCTGCACAGGCCGTGTACCTTCCACTACAGAATGTTAGAAGCATCCTCAATACTTTCCATTCTGCAGCTGGAGAGAGGGCCATCGCATCCAAAGGTGCGGTTTTCATGTGCTTTTAGCTAGATCTGGCATGCATCTGTGGGCTCAAGATCACTGAATACAAAATGTTTTCCTAAGTGAATTGATCAATTGTTAATGTCAAGAATAATCATGATTAAATAAAGCTCCTGCATTTCTTCTCATGGCTTTTTAAAAATATTTCAGAGATTTCCTTTTACACTTTACTGGGGTTGCCAAATGGTCTCAGCAGGAATACAAGCATGTGTACACAATGGGTATTTTCAGAAGTGATTTCCTAGACACAAAGTCCAACTACTGGACACCTGGCAACATGAGTCTCTTCATCCACTAATAATGTCACAAAATGGAAAATCTTCATGCAGTTGATTAAAATATACTTCTTGGTCCCAGCAGCTGGCCCTGTCCTGGGTAGGCCCTTTGGGAACAGTTTCAAGAGAGAATGATTACTAGTGCCTAGAGCCTAGGGTGACATGGATCCGCTTTTGATGTCCAAGGCATTTGCCATAATCTGAAGGTCTCCTGCACCCTGAGCAGCAAGATGAGAAAATCCTCACAGCCATGGAACCTAGAGATACAAAATCACAGAATGTGGAATTTGACCTGGGAGGGCCCGAGGTTTTCCCACCCACCGCCGCGTTTGCCAGGGAGGACCAAGCTTGAGTGTGGCAGTTGTAGCCTGGGTCTTCACCTCCAACGACCTTGGCCTTGCCCTAGCCCTCAGTGCTGCCTCAGAAGCCACTGCGTTTGCCTGAGCCTCCTGCCTCCCCGGACTGTTGAGGACAAGCCAGGGACTGACCCGCTTTGTGTCACTGGGCAGAGCAGCTGTTCTCAGTGGTGGTCAGAAACACAAGCGCCAAGGCCGTCCCACATGATTGACAGTGAATGTCATTGTCACCTGGGTCCATTACAAAGTGCAGTGCCACAAACAGGGTGGCTTCAAACAACCAAAATGAGTTGGCCATGGTGGCTCACACCTCTGATCCCAGTGCTTTGGGAGGCTGAGGTGAAAGGATCACTTGAGCCCAGTAGTATAAGAACAGCCTGGGCAACACAGCCAGACCTCGTCTCTACAAACAAATCAGAATTCATGGAGGGAACCCCCCTCAAAAGGAATGTATTTATTTTTAAAATTGTCTATTCTTACATATTTAAACTTCAATCACCTTCAAAATATTCTCCGTTTGATGCAATAAACCCATCAAGACACTTTTTCCACTGCTCAAAACAGTTTTTGAATTCATCATTTTTGATGTCTTTTAGTGCTTCTGCCATTTTTTGCTTCACCTCTTCCACATTGGCAAAATGTTTCCCTTTGAGGATATTTTTTAATCCAGGGAAACGAAAAACATCTCTCAGGGCGAGATTGGGTGAATAGAAAGGCTGGAGTATAGGGGTCATGCCATTTTTTGGTCAAAAACTGCTGAACACTCAGCACAGTGTAGGCAGGTGCATTGTCATGGTGGAAGAACCAGTCACCTGTTTGCCACAACGCAAGACGTTTCTTTCACCATACAGCCTCTCACAACAACTCTAGCTGGTACACTGATGCCAGTAGGTTCCTAGAACACTTACCTAGTGGGGTAGAGCTGTATTACATGGGGTTCATCCTCCAAAATGTAATTCCGGTGTTTTGAAGGTCCCTCTCAAATAAGCCAGGCATGGTAGTGTACACTTGTAGTCCCAGCTACTCAAGAGGCTCAGGCAGAAGGATTTCCTGACAGGCCCAGGAGGTCAAGGCTGCAGTGAGCTGTTTCTGCCACTGCACTCCAGCCTGGGCAACAGAGTGAGACCTCAACTCAGAACAAACAAACCAGAAATGTGTTCTCTCACAGTCCTGGAGTTTAGAAGTTTGAAGTCAATATGCCAGCAGGGCCATGCTCCCTCAGGGTTCTAAGGGAGGACCCCTCCTGGCCTTCCTGGTGGTTACAGCAATCCATGGCATTCTTTGGCTGTGGCAGCCTCACTCTAGTCTCTGACTGTCGTCACATGGCCATCTCCCTCTGTGTGTGTGTGTCCAAATCTCCCTCTTAGGACACCAGTCACTAGATTAGTGCCACCTTACTCCATTGTGACATCATCTTCACTAACTACATCTGCAAAGACCCTGTTTCCAAATAAAGTCACACTCATGGGGACTGGGAGATAGGACTTCCACATATCTTTTGGGGGACACAATTCAACCCAAGCTACGATGGAAAGCCAAGAACCTCACTCCTAGCTCACGCCACTTGAAAACGAGTCCATTCGTAGATTGCTTTTCTGACAAAACTTTGCTATGGAATGCTTCAACTGCTGCAGATTTTGTGGGATCCAAGCCTGGCTGCAGGAGACAGGGAGAAAGACTAGAAGTAGAGATAGGGGAGGACAGTGCCCCTGGGTCTAGTGACTCGTGAGACAGCTCAGCAGCACAGTGTTTCCAGATGTCTCATTTTCTTTAAGGGAGTGCTCCATCGGTGGCTGTCCCATTTTGCAGGTGGGAAGCCTGACGCTCAGTGCCCCGGGTGAAAAGCCTCTGTTAGCAAGGAGGACACAAATGGCCCATAAGCACATGGAACTATGCCTAACATCTTGAGTCACCAGGGAAATGCACATCAAAGGGGATGCCACTTCCCCAAGATGACTAGAATCAAATAGACAATGACGCTTATTGACGAGGATATGGAGATTTCAGAACTCTTCATCCGATGCTGTGGGGAATGTTAAATGGTGCAGCCACTCAGGAAAGCAGTCTGGGAGTTCCTCAAACAAACATCGAGTTATCATAGGACCCATCAAGTCCCTCCTGGGTATATACCCAAGAGAAATGAGATGATACTGCTATACAAAAACTTGCACATAAATGTTTACAGCAGCATTATTTACAATAGCCAAAAGGTTCCAAATGTTTTCCCACTGAAGAATGGATGAACAAAATTTGGTATATCCACATAATGGAATATTATTCAGCCATAAACAGGAATGAAGGACTGATATACATGGCAACACAAAGGGATCTTGAAAGCATGCTAAGTGCAAGGAGTCAGTCCAAAAGACCATGTGCTGTATGATGCCGTTCATATGACATGTCCAAAAGAGGAAAAGCTATAGACAGTGTTTGCTTAGGGCTGGTGGGAACAGTGGGAATAAAAAGATAATAGCTGTAAAGTTGGGGGGGCAGGTATGATGGCTGACACCTGTCATCCCAGCACTTGGGGAGCCCGAGACAAGAGGATTGCTTGGGCCCAAGAGTTCGAGATCAGCCTGGGCAACATAGTAAGACCTCTTCTCTACAAAAAATAAAAAAATTAGCTGGCCTGGTGGTGTGTGCCTATAGTCCCAGCTACTTGGGAGGCTGAGGCAGAAGGGTCACCGATCCCAGGAAGTCAAGGCTGTGGTGAGCTGTGATGGTGCCACCACACTCCAGCCTGGGTGACAGAGTGAGACCCCGAGTCAAAAAAGTAAATTAATTAATTTTAAAATAAAGAGTACAAGTTTTTTCTTTTGAGATGATGGAAGCGTTCTAAGATCAACCATGAGCATGCTTACGCATATCTTGAATATGCTTTTTAAAATTTAAT